GTGGGGCAGGGTGTGGGGTTGAGCGTGGGGCAGCAGGAGCTCGGGGCCAGTGACTCTGCCCCGCTTTGATCTCGGGTGTGCCTCAGTTTCCCCATCCTTACACAACCGGGAGGTGCCGGATCCTGCCTTCCCCTGCCCCTGGCTGCTCCCAGCTCCTCCTGCTCCAGCAGGGGAGCGCACGGACCCCAAGCCTGCCTTTGCCAGCCCTGCAGCCCCCCCTTGTCCTTGACACAGGCTTGACCCCGTGGATACCCCCAGGCCCTCGCCCTGTCCTTGTCACTCCCAGAACCCATCCCCAGTTGCCCTCCTGGACCCTCCGCATCACCTCAGCATCCCTGGAGACCCCACAGTGGGGACAAACCCCCCCAGCCAGCTTCAGCCCCCTTTTCCCAGCCCTGCACTCGCCCACGGGAGGTTCCAGCCGTGGCACAGAGCTGGGCTGCTGAGCTGTTAAGGGGGAACCCCCCCCCCCCCAAAAAAAATACCCTATTGGGGGGCCAAGCTGCATCCCACAACCTCCACGTGTGGCTGCTGGACCAGACCCCCCTGCACTGTGGGATGGGGGTGAAACCCCCCGGGGGACTCTGTGGGGCTGGGGTTGGAGGCTCCCCCTGCACTGAGCCCAGGAAAGCTCCGGCGCCAGCTGCAGCTGGAGGGGGAGAGGAGGAGGAGGAGGAGGAGGAGGAGGAGGAGGAGGAGGAGGAGGCAGGAGAACAATGCTGGCCGGCCGCCAGCCGAGGGGAGTGGGGGGGAAGGGGGGAGCTCCCGCACAGCCCCCGGCCTGCCGGGCACAAGGAGGTGACAGCCGCTGTCCCCCGGGGCTCGCCGCGCCTTGCCGAGCCACCCCGAGCCGTGGGGACACCCCCGGGGACACGCGTGGCACCCCAGTTCGGTGGGGGCACCCCCGCGAGCGGGGTCCCCTGCGTGCCCGTGCCCTGTGTGTGATGCCCCAGCCCTGCCGGGCACCGAGCAGGGTCCCCAGGCTCGTCACACGCCCCGAGACCCCTCCGGAGAGCAGGGCAGGTGAGGGCCGAGCCCCCCTGTCCCCAGCCCTCGGCCAGGAGGATTTTTGGGGGGAGGATGCCCAGCAGCCAGCCTGGACCAGCCAGGGTGGGCTCCAGGGTGGACCAGCGGCCGGCCCGGAGGGTGGGGGGTGACCGGGGGGTGACCCCAGCCCTTGTGGGGCACAGTTTGGCTGGGTCCCTTCCCAGGGGATGCGTGTGGGGGTGTTCCCCCACCTCAGCCTCCCTCCTGAGCCGTCAGCGCAGCGGGGTGACCCCCCCAGCCTGCCCGACGAGTCCTGTCCCCCCGTCTGTCCCCGAGCAGCGGGGTGAGCCCCCAGCCTGCCCGACGAGTTCTGTCCCCCCGTCTGTCCCCGAGCAGCGGGGTGACCCCCCAGCCTGCCCGACGAGTCCTGTCCCCCCGTCTGTCCGTGCAGGGACATCCCGGCAGGGCAGCGGCCAGCGCATCCCCCCGGCTTCGGGCGGATCGGAGCCTCCCCCGCTCCCTCCCGATGGCTCCGGGGCAGGGGGGGATGAGACGCAGCTCCCCCACACCCAGCCCAGGCTCTGCTTCCAGAGAATGCGCGGAAAAATTCCGGGGTGAGGGGCCAGGGCCCCCCAGGGTCGGGCATTCACTGCCCGCGCACAGAACGGGGAGGGGGCCGGGCCCCGCTTTGTCTGCGGAGATGAAAGGCGAGGGGCCAGCCCGGCCCCCTCCCCAGCCCGGGGGGCCGCCGGGGCCGCCCGGGGCCACCGGGGTCACCGGGGAGGATTAGTGCCGGATTAGAGGCGCCGGGAACCTCGACACCACCCACGCGGAGCCGTGGGAGGGGGGCACAGCCTGCGGGGCAGTTTGGGGGTTACTCGCAGCCCCCCCTCCATCCCAGCCCCCCTCCCCAGCTCCGCACGGAGGAATTCGCTTTGGTTCCGAGAGCAGCCGCGCTGCGGGCAGGGGGCAGCTCCCGGAGCCCCCGCAGCAGCAATGGGACCCCCGGGCCGCTGCGGAGGCAGCGCGGGCAGCCACAGACCCCTCCCCACCCAGACGGGCCCCCCCTCAGCTCCCGGGGTCCCGGAGCCCCCCCAGTGATCCCCCCAGCCCGAGGCGAACCGGAGCCGTCCCCAGGGCTGGCGGGGAAAGCGGATATTCCTCCAGCGAGGGGAGCCCTGGGGGCCGGGGGGGCGGCTGGATTCCGTTCCCGGCTGCTCCCGCCCGGCCCCGGCGCTCCCGGGGGCTCCGGGGCCGCTTGGGTGAAGTGGGGAGGGGGCCGGGTCCTGCGCCCACCCTCGGCAGAGCCGGGACAGGGCCCTGGCAGCGCTTTGGGAGCGGCGCCAGGGGCGATGGGCGCCTGCCAAGCGTCCACCTGGAGATACCGGAGCCTTCCTCCCCCGTCTCCTCCTCCTCCTCCTCCCCAGGGAAGGTGTAATTCCACCCTCGCTGCTCCTGGACGAGCTCCCGGGGTGCAGGATCACACCCCGGGCGTGGGGATGACGCCAGCCCTGAGCCCTGGCTCCCTTCTCCATCCCCCATCGCCCAAATCCACATCCCACACTCCGGATCCCACACTCCAGATCCCAAATCCACATCTGGATCCCACACTCCAGATCCCAAATCTACATCCCACACCCTGGGTCCCACACCCTGGATCCTGCGCCCCAAATCCATATCCCACACCCTGGATCCTGCACCCCAAATCCCACACCCTGGGCCCCACACCCTGGATCCCAAAATCAGATCCCACACCCTGGATCCTGTGCCCCAAGTCCCAAATCCAGATCCCACACCCTACATCCCACACTCTGAATCCCAAAATCAGATCCCACACCCTGGATCCTGTGCCCCAAATCCCAAATCCAGATCCCACACCCTGCATCCCACACCCTGGATCTTGTGCCCCAAATCCACAGTGGCTCGGGTGGGGGGCACGGCCCCTTCTGGGCAGAGAATGGGGCAGGAGCACCCCAAACCTCGAGGCAGGGCAGTCCTGCATCCCGAGCCTCCCCGCACCTCCCTGGTATCCCGCGCTAATTAATGCCATCCCCCGCAGCGCAATTATCGGGCAGCCCGATAATGAATAACCCGCAGGTGCTCCCGGCCGGGCTGGGGTCTCCTGCTGGGAGCTGGAGCACATCCACGCGTCCGGCCCCACGCTGCCCTGCCTGCCCCACGGTCACCCCACAGTCGGTCACCCCACAGTCACCCCACAGTCACCCCACGGTCACCCCACGGTCACCACCCGCTTCCCACGCCGGGATGTGCCAGCCCGGCCGCCGCCCTCGCCCCCGGCCCCTTGCGCAACGGCCGGGGAGCGGATGTGGGGCACAGGATGCAGGGCGTGGGAATTGGGGTGTGGGATTTGGGGTGTGGGATCTGGGGTGCTGGATCCAGGGTGTGGGATTTGGGGTGTGGGATCCGGGGTGTGGGATTTGGGGTGTGGGATCTGGGGTGCAGGATCCAGGGTGTGGGATCCGGGGTGTGGGATTTGGGGTGTGGGATCTGGGGCGCAGGATCCAGGCTGTGGGATCCGGGCTGTAGAATTTGGGGTGTGGGATGTGGGGTGTGGGATCCGGGGTGTGGGATCCGGGGTGTGGGATTTGGGGTGTGGGATCTGGGGTGCAGGATCCAGGCTGTGGGATCCAGGGTGTGGGATCCGGGGTGTGGAATCTGGGGTGTGGGATTTGGGGCACAGGATCCAGGGTGTGGGATCCAGGCTGTGGGATGTGGATTTGGGATCTGGAGTGTGGGATCTGGGGCGCAGGATCCAGGGTGTGGGATTTGGGGTGTGGGATCCGGGGTGTGGAATCTGGGGTGTGGGATTTGGGGTGTGGGATGTGGGGCACAGGATCCAGGGTGTGGGATCTGATTTTGGGATTCAGAGTGTGGGATGTAGGGTGTGGGATTTAGGGTACAGGATCCAGGGTGTGGGATTTGAATTTGGGACTTGGGGTGCAGGATCCAGGGTGTGGGACCCAGGGTGTGGGATCTGAGTTTGGGATTTGGGGTACAGGATCCAGGGTGTGGGATCTGGATTTGGGATTTGGGGTACAGGATCCAGGGTGTGGGATCTGGATTTGGGATTTGGGGTACAGGATCCAGGGTGTGGGATCTGAGTTTGGGATTTGGGGTACAGGATCCAGGGTGTGGGATCTGGGGTGCAGGATTTGGGGTGTGGAATCCAGTCTGTGGGATTTGGGGTGTAGAATCAGGGGTGTGGGATCTGGAGTGTGGGATTTGGGGTGCAGGATCCGGGGTGCAGGATTTGGGGTGTGGAATCTAGAGTGTCAGATTCTGACTGTAGCATGTAAGGTGCAGGATTTGGGGTGTGGAATCCAGGCTGTTGGATCTGGGGTGCAGGATCCGGGGTGCAGGATCTGGAATGCAGAACCTGGGATGTGGGATCCACAGTCCCGGGGGGTGGGATCTGGGTGCAGGATCCAGGCTGTGGGATTTGGGGTGCAGGATCTAGAATACAGAACCTGGGATGTGGGATCCACAGTCCTGGGGTGTGGGATCTGGGTGCAGGATCCAGGCTGTGGGATTTGGGGTGCAGGATTTGGGGTGTGGAATCCAGTCTGTGGGATTTGGGGTGCAGGATCTAGAATACAGAACCTGGGATGTGGGATCCACAGTCCTGGGGTGTGGGATCTGCGTGCCAGCGGGACCAGGAGACACAAGGACAGCCCGGGCGGCTCGCAGGACATTTATTGAAAAAGGAGGGGGAAACAGAGAAAAGTCGGACCCTGGGGGGGCTGGGACCTGGCACTGCCCAGGCTGGGGGGTTTGCTGTGCCCGTCTGGTTCCATATTCACAAATAAATACTGGGGAGGGCTCGCGGGGCAGGGCTGGGGGCTGCGGGAACCGACAGCAGCCCGAACCCAAAGCAGCTCCGAGCAGCCCTAAAAAAGGCAGGGAGGGGCCGCGATCTCCCCCGCCGCGGCCCGGCGCCGCGCCCGGCTCCGAGCGCGGCAGAGCGGGGCCGGACCGGGAGGCTCCGCTGCCCCCGGAGCACCCCGCCCTGCAGAGGGGGGGAAATCCGTGTGTGTGTGCCCCC